CGGGTGCGGGTGCGGGTGCGGGTGCTAAGTGGGCCGTACAATTCACCCGGCTTACAAGCTGCTGCAGGGGGTCCACAAGAAGTAGAACGTCAAGTTGCTGAATCTGCTACACCACCTTAAGCTACCATAACCGACTTGTGTGTAAGCCCTTATAAACCCCTAATCTGAAATTGTAGAGGCCCTCAAAAAAGTAGGTAAGTAGGTTTCGGTGGATTAACGTCTGTCCTAAGCTCTTGTAGTTTTGAGCTCATCCGTCCCCATGACTGAGATTCAAGAAATCCTGGCCAAAGCCCCAACACCAAAGCCTTACATAAACTCAAAGCCCAAACACCGCAACCGGAACCATGAAACCAACCTGGCACCCTAAAGCCCTAAAGCCTAAACCCTCAAGGAGATTCTCGCCGGAGGGATTTGGGGAGCTGTTTACAGCCTTAGGAAGCAGGGTGCCAATGAGCAAATGGAGGAACGGCGTCTACGGAGGTGGGGAGGGGAAGAGGTTGAGGATCTGATGTGTCAGATTGATTCAGGGCTCGTCTGAAAAAGAATGGCTTCTTCAGAATATCGCTGCTTTACGTCCTTATTATGCTACTTTGCTAGCCTGCTCCGACTCCAGGTGTGGGGTTTTTTGATTACCCTGATACGTTAACAGCTCGAGCCGCATAAACATGGCGCTTGTCCATGGGGATGTTGAACTGACCCAGCTGGAAGCCATGGTCACTCGAGAAGAAGAAGTAGGTGTTGTCCAGCTGCCCCAGCTCCTTACTTGAATTTACAAGTGGGTTCATGATTTATAGTCCTATCATAGTACACTTATACCTTTCTAATGCCCATCCACATTAAGGCAAGGATTGCGTACTTCGACGTCCAAAGATCCTCCACTTTTCCAATTACATCTGCGATGAGGTCATCCACCGACAGCAGCGTCCGCCAGCGATTTTTGAAGACGCCGGTGATGACCCTGGCAGCTTCAGGACTCAGTAGCGGCTCCGTGGCGATGTTGCCTGGGTTTGCGCACTAAAGATCTTAAGGAACCATTCCGAAGAGTACATGATAAAGGTGGCCCATACTAAGCTCTTGAGTAGCGCCTTGAAAATCTGGGTTACTATGTGGTATTACTGAGGGAGCCCAAGCAAGAAAAAAGGGATTAAAAGCCTTCTACGCGGGGAACCCAGAGCAGATTAAATCGAGAGCCCGGTGGCCATGGTGGTCGCGACGGCTGCCAGCGGAGCAATTCCAATTTTCTGCCCTGGGCTCGTGCTCGGGCCAGGCAGCTTCCCAGGTGTCGCGGTACCAGGGGGCTGGGTTGAAGGGTTCGTGGGCTGCTTTCGGGGCGATGTATGCCTTGGTTTGCTGAGCTCATAAACCCAAAGAAAGTAGACACTTTCAGTTCCACAGGGGATCAAGTGAGTTATCCCCAAAAAGTGTAAATTTACACTCCTTCAGCCACTAAGATGCCATGAAGGGCTGCTCTGAATGGATGGCTTTCTCGATGAAGGCAAGGGATATGTTCCCGATGACGGAGGTGCTGTAGTTGGAAGGAGCGTTGCTGAACTTTACCCAGCCCTCTGGGAGACCGTCCACTCCTTTGGTCATGAACTGCGGGGCAAAGTAGTCGCCACCTCCATTTGCAAACCAGACATCAAAACCAGGAGGCACCTTCTCAGGCATCACATTCAGGTACTTTCCGAACATTCCAGTCATGTAGCCCGCGTCATGGAGGCGCCTCACAAAGGTGTCATCATTCACTTTGCTGTAGTTCACATGCATCCCAGCGCCCGAACCGCCCACTTGTTTGATGTTGTGGAAGTAGCGGCCACTCAGCAAAGTTGACCGGGAAGGGCTGCAGATGGGCACATGGATGTGCCAGTTCTCCTGACCGCGGAAATTCGGGACAGGAAGGGAGCCAAAGCTTTCCGAGCTCGGTTCTATCGGTTCTCTCGGATGCTAAAGCCCTGCGAAACGTGAAAACCCACCAGGCAACAATTATCCAAACCTAAAAACCCTAACGCGCTAAACCTTAAACCCTAACATCCTAAAACCGTAAGCCGTAAGCCCTAAACCCGAAGCTTCTGAAACGCTGCCGAGTCTCTGCATGGATGCCGGCATCGAAAAGGAGCCGCTGGGTCTTCGGCATGGGCGTGGCGCCATGCGGGCTGGTCGGAGGGAAGGAACCGCCCAGAACCTGCAAAGATGTAAGGTTCCTTTAAGGGTACCCATAAGGGTACTATGATAGGGTCTCTGGAAGGGTACCCATAAGGGTACTATGACGGGGTTCCGTACCTATAAAGGCAAAAGCCGGAAACCCTAAACCCTGAACCCAGACTCCACTGTCACTCACAAGAAGCCTAAGATAAACCCTACTTCGATAAACCCTACTTCGATCTGCTCTGAATGGTCAGGTGTTTGGGGATTTCGGTTCACGGGGCGTGGGATTTTACGGTGTGGGGCGTTGGGTTTAGGGGCCAGGTTTAGGATTTTGGAGAGTTTCGAGGATTTGGCCTGACCAAGCGTAAGGCTCTTAGGGTGAGGAGTCGCCCAGGCACCTGATCTTGATCGTCCGTAAGGATCCACACCTAGGTTCCCAAATAGACCCGGGTTCCCTCTCGACTGCTCGGCTGTGAAAAAGTAAAAAAAAAAAGAGCAGCGCAAAGGCCGAAACAACGATGTAAACGAGTTGAGTAAGCCCTGTACAACGCAGCACGGCGCATCCGCTACGCTACAACGCCGCCGTTTCCGGACCGAAGGCTAGCATGACTACCCTAAGCCATAAAGATTGAAATATGCAAGATCCTCCTAAAACCAACCAGGACACGATGTTCGGCCTCTCCCGTCGTGAGCGAGAGACCGGTCCAATCTCGTGAAGGGCGAGCAGGGATCGGAAGGATGGCCCAGTTGTCCGCGAACTCAATATTTCCAGGGAGGCCCGTCCTGCCCAAAGTGAGTTTCATAAGCTTTCATAGCAAGGTTCGCCTAAGGGTGTTGGGAATTGTATGCGCGTTCTTTGTTCGTCGGGGTTTGGGGTTTATAGGCGAGTTTGAAGCTCAGGGCCCTGCCCGAAATTGTTTGACGGTTCTGGGTTGGGCTTGGTGGTTCTAGGGTTCATATTGGTTTAGGGTTTAGGGTTTAAGGTTTTTTATCACACCCTTTTTCCGGTTGCATTTCGGAAAGCCCCTGAGAGCAGGTGACAAATAAAAGCCCTCTCCCCTCAGACTCAGTATGGCCGTAGCCACCCCCGTCAATCTCAATCTAATTTTGCTTGATGTCATCGTCTTCACTCTGAGCAGCCCAAGCCTTCCATCCTCCGGTGAGTTCCCGCAGGATACTTTCCCACTCGTCCATGTAGTCCGGAACCCCCGCTCTTGACCCAACCAGAGAAGTCCGGTCGCGAGCTCCAGGCTGAAGGTTAAACACTGCTCGACGCAGCAACCATTGTCTCAGAAGGCCGCCAATTGCGGCGCCGACTGCTGGCACTCGACGGGCGTTTCCGGTGCAATGGTGATGGTGTGCAGTGCTGGCAGCAAAACACCATGCAGTCAAAAACCTTCGCTTGTGCCCACCAGAAGGCTCAGCATCCTCAACACCAGCCTGGCTTGGGTTATCTCGGTCACAACAGAAATACCACCTGTCCACACTCTAGGCTGTGTGCTGTACCTTGTACCGGCTTCATGATCTGCCGCTATGGCCAGATGAGAGTCGCGATAGATCCGACGAGGACTCGAAGCCCCTGTGCTGAGGCAGTCGAGTTGCTGGCCCTGTCTATGTGCTTGTCGGGGCCTGCTAGTGGGCGTCCTAAAGTCCTCATTGAGTGGAGGTACAGCATGAAGTCCTGTCCTGCGGCACTGACCCAGGAAGTCATTAGTTTTGCTCGACAGCAGCACTCGTCGAAACCCCATCCCACATCAGCATTGAGATCACAGGCGAGAAGGATCGGCAACGTAGTCGGTGGTAGACCTGCTAAATGGTCATGTACTTCCTTGGCATGTTGCGGTTGAGTGCATCCTGGCGGGAAGTGGGCAGTCCCGACCCAAATCTCAAACCCCTGCACATGGCGAAGTCTCAGCCAAACTCCCCTTGGTACCGTGCGGCGAAGCCAAGCCACGTGAGAAGCAATCTCTCGTTCCTCTCTGCTCTTAGCATAAGTGGCGAACAGCTTGCGCCCACCGGGCAAGGTGACCCTCACTCTCAGCCAGTGCCCGCAACCACCTGGTGCATGCGCCGTTTGGCGTGCTTCCGATCTCCACGCTCGAAGACCGCCAGAGCAGTGGAGCGCCTGGGCCCAGTACAGAAGGGTTCGTTATCGAGGTGCTCGGCAATCTGAAGCTCCTCGAATCCCGGGGCCATCCACCAAAGGTCAGTGTCATGCGCCGGCCCATTTTTCCACGATCTCCCTGCACACTGGAAGTGACCCTCTCTCGCAGCTCCCGTGCGAGCTCTTCCAGTCTGGTCTCAATGGTTTCCATCTTCGATTCCACGGTGTCAAAGCGTTCCTCTGCTCCCCCCATTCTTCTACCAATGGCCTCTTCAAGGCCGCCAAGTCTGGTTTCCAGGTGAGCACCTTCATGATCCTGTCCGAGTGCTGCTGTAGGAGGGCCTTGAGGTCCGACATAGCTAAGGTGACCGACTGTGAACCCCCGGGCCGAGCAGCCGCCGTCCTCGTTTCGCCCCTCTCTTCTGCCCGTAGGTAACTCCACATCTTCTGGGGACACCGGCACCTTCACTGCCAGGTAAGTCTGCATGCGTCTCCGTGCCTTTGTGTCCTTGCGTCCCACTCAAGGTGGTAGCCCTGAATCAGGTAATCGACGAACCCCGGGGCCTCCTGCTGTCGCCGATCTCGTCATCCTCTCGGTGGATCGGGCAGAAGTCGAAGAGTAACAGCCCGCCTCGCTGCAGAATGGCTGGTCCAGCTACCCCTGTCACCTGCCCCAAGGAGACTACAGCAGCCTTGAGCCGAAAGGGTTTAGGGTTCTGGGGTCTAGGGTTCAGGGTTTAGGTTGGGTTTACTCAACGCCTAATGGCTTAGGACATCTGTGTGGCGGTATGGGTTTAAGATCCAGGAGGAGAGGTCTAATTTCGGGCGTAAGACAAGGGTCAAAATAGCTACCAATACTACGCCTGAGGATTTTTCTATTGTGATGAATCATAACACAGTGTACCACAAAACCCTTCTATAGCTATTTCAGCAGGCTTTGGGAGGCCGGCTTGTCCTGCCCAAAGCACCGTGACGGCTGCGAAGGCGAGCAGGCTCGGCACCAGCATTTCTCGCGCCATCCCCGGGCAAACACTTAACACTCCTGCCTGTCCATTTAGGGGATTTCGAGTTTAGGGTTTAGGGTTTAGGGCTCCGGTCCGGTCGTGCTTCGGCCTAGACCTTTGTGTGAACCTAAGAGCTAGAACCCCATAAGCCCGATGGTAGAAACTCTGAGCCGACGGCCTTAATGTCTCTGACATGCTGAAACCCCGGATTTTTTTGCAATTGCAACAAAATGCCGAACCTTGAACCCTCAACCCAACTTGCGGCCAAGACCTCGTCGGAAGGCAGACTTTGGGGCCAGTCTGGGGTGCTCTTGCAGTAGCTTCAGTACTCATTTATCCCTATCGAAAATCGAAAGCCCTGCGCGCCCCGCCATCCTAAACCCTAAACCCGACCTAAAACCCGAAAAGCTGAAACCAAAAGGTTGCATCAGGGCTACTTCAAGGGTCCTGATATATGATAGTGAATCTTTTTTAACAGTATCAATGCACAGGAATTTTACGAGGATACTCTCAGCAACTATTCCGACCCGCCATATTGCCAAATTGGCAAGTCTAAATGTGTTCTATCATGCGGATCAAGCTAAACCCTAAACCCTGTATATCCTGAACCCTAAACCCTAAACGTATCAGGACTTGCTTTGAGATTAGGGATCGGAGCCTTGCCGTGAGGTCCTGGTGTCTAAAACCCTGAAGGCTAGGAAAAATGATGAACGACAGCACCTGAATACTTACCAATCCTGTAAATATGCTTGCAAAAATTTAGACCCCCAACGGCCGAGTCTAATTATTAATTGGGGCCCCGACACCCTAAACCCTAAGCCCCACACCCCAAACCCTAAACCCTAGAAAGAGCAGCGCAACCGTGAAGCCAAGAGCGACCCGAAAAACCCGAGGTCCAACTCGCCGCTTCCACCTTGGCGGTGAAAAGCTCCTTCACCGCGCATGCTGAGTGCCTCAGTTAGGGTTTAGGGTTTAGGGGTCTCGGGTTTCGGGTTTAGGGGTCTAGGGTTTAGGAGAAGTTGGGGTTTGGGCCTCAGGCTGGCTGTACTTAGGCTTAGGGCTTGGGATTAGGTACGCTTTGGGGCGGCTTTAAGTTTGGCGCGGTTTAAGCTTAAGACTTGTCTAGGGTTCTGGGAGTCTTATCGACTTATCGAAATGCGCAGGGGGTGGTTTGATGTGTGTAGAAGGTTCCTCCATGGTTGAGGGTTTAGGGTTCTCATTAGGCTCGCGCGGCTCATCCACATACTCGTTGCCAGCTTTGCTAAGGCTCTCGCAGACTTGCTTCTCCATAGCTTTCTCATCGCTGTTCGACTCACGAACGAACACATCGCCCGTCTTGACACCCAAGCCTGCGAAAGTAACTACCCCCTTTAAAACACATAGCCGTCGTTGTGCTTGACAGAGAGGAGGAGCCCGGCAATCTGGGTTGTGAAGATGCGACAGCCCTGCATCGTTGCAGTGCATCGAAACAGGACACCTGCGCAGATGCGCTCAACTTCATTTCGAAACTGTCCTGGGCGAGGAGGTCACCATTGCCGCTCACCACGCAGACAGTGACTTGGAGTTCTGCAGTGTAAGTTCATACGGTTGATGATATAAATCCTGCATTACCCATAATGAGGAACAAACCATAATTATCATAATTTAGGGTCCTTAAGGTGATGCAGGATCTATATCATCAACAGCACGTTCATGAAGATGAGTTCTTCATCCTCCCTCTGTAGGGTCTTCACCTCCACTGGCTGACAATCAGGCCTGTGCTCGACTTGCGCATCGCTCACACCGAAGCATCGCATTCTCGCGACTACCCGACTACCCCCAAAGCCACGATGAAAGCCCTGCAACTTCTCGCCCAATGTGGACACATCGTAGTACACAACCCTAAACCCTAACACCCTAACACACTAAACCCTAAGCCCTAAACCCTAACAGCCCAACACCCTAAACCCTAAACCCGAACACCCTAAACCTCACACCCTAACACCCTAACACCCTAAACCAGATAACCTCAGGGACCTGGAGGAGCTTCAATCCGACAACCCAGCTCCGCCAGTCTCCCAAGATCCCTAAGCCCTAACACCCCTAGAGTTTGGGCTTTGGGGCTTTAGGGTTTACGGGGGTTGGGGTTCGGGTTCGGGTCGTAGGCTTGAGGGTTTAGGGTTTAGGGTTTAGGATTTAGGGTTCAGGTCGCAGGGTTGAGGGCTTAGGAGGTCCTAAACACCCGCAAACCCACACCAGCGGGGCGCGAGGTTGAGGACAAGCACATGCTTTGGGAAGCCCGGTGGTGGTTTGAGACAGGTTTAGAAGTGAGGGTATGGGTTTTGGGATTTAGGGTTTATGATCCCTCATGGCTCCTCTGTAGCCTCAAGCCCTCAACCCCTTTATTCATAGCCTGTTTCAGGTAACAGTTTAAAGCCATCCCTTCTCACCGTAACTCACAGCCAACTCATAACGCACCACATCTGCTCAACCATGCCGGTACCACTGCACCCAACACTTCTCAATCCCGGAACATCTGAGATTGAAGTTTAACACAACTCGGGAAGTGCGGCTTGGTGCTTAGGGTTTAGGGTTTAGTATGGCTGCAGGTGAAGTAAAACAGACGTTCACTAGCCCCAAACTGCTGTAATTACAACGACCCTACTTGCCAAAAAACCTTGATCCTTGATAAGAGT